TCTCTCTCTCTCTCTCTCACACACACACACACACACACACACACACAAGTGCGCTGTCCGCGCGCTGCGCTGGCACGCGGCGGCAGCGCACACACAGACACACACACACACACACACACACACACACACACACACACACACACACACTCACTCACTCACTCACAATCAATCAATCAATCAAACCCCTTTTTTGAAGTTTTTTCTTTATTTATTTTCAAATTTTGCATCTGCATTTTTTTAAAACACCTCATACCCCTGCAAAAACAGCAATTCATTTCTTAAAAAATATAGGTGAACTCAGGGACCATATATCTCATGATAAAAAATCACCAAAAAAAAATCAAACTTTTCTTTATATATATATTTTTTATTTTCTTTAAATCGAAGGTAGTTTTTTATTTTTTTTAAATCCTAAACAAAGTCGGATTCAAAAAAAAAAAAATGGGGTTGTAGGGCTTAAAATTCCCTACAACCCCATATATATTATATATTTTAACCTATTATTTAATTCAGGAAAATTCTGGTAAAATCAGGTCCGTGGCGCGGACCAGGTTGGCCGCGGATGCGGCCCCATCTGCGTCCGCCATCCGAGATCAGACCCGCGGATGCGTCCGCGGGTGTTTCATAGACTGCAGCGTCCTCTTCCGCCGTGTGCGAATGACCGCTCTCATCCTCCCCTCGTTCCTCTGCAATTGACACCGGAAGAGGATGGCGTTCAAGGCCGCTGCCACCGTCATCCTCTTCGCCTTGCTCAGTGTGTTACGGCCCGCCTCCCCGTTCATGTCCATCGCCGAAACTGGTACTGTCGACATGGCCGTCGCCAAGTATAGAAGACTCCACGTGCGCCGGGGTGCACAACAGCGATGGTGCGAGTGACAACCGGAGTGCACGACGTAGACGTCGACGACAAAGATGCGCCTGCGAAGATGACAACGATGACGATGGTGTGACGCCGTGTCTGGTGCTTGGGACGTGTACATGTACGTTCGGCGTGCCTGCCGACACGCAGTCGCCACCCCGTACCCAAACGCGTCCGTCGAGGAACGTTGCTGCCGTCAGCTGCAAGGGACGCCCACGCCGCCGAAATTCGAATCCGGGACTGCGCGCCTTTTTGGTGGCCATTTTCTTTTTTTTAACGCCGGCAACTTTCGAATTCGCGACGCCCACCCGAGCTGGACCAACGACGTCGGCACGGACACACCTTGCTGGACCAACCTTGCCCCCCCCCCCCGTCCGCTTGTCGATATATGAAACTGGCCGCGAAAGCCCCTAAGGAATCGTCCTCAAGGAACAATTCCAAGAATGAGTGGAACGACGGCGCAAATTTCCTCGGGCGTCGATGGGAGAATTTCCTCGGGCCCCGAGGACAGCCCGAGGAGTGTCGAACGAGCCCCACAGAATCAGACGTCAGGACGCGGTAGAAGCTGTTTGCGATGGCAACCATCGTGGTCGGTGGGTGATCCCGCATGCGAACAACCGCTGCCATCCAATCAACAGGACAGGTCGCCGGAGAACCGACACGCGCGACCTCACAGTCAGAAATAGAAAAAACTAACAAAATATCATATAAAAAAAGAGAAACGGGCCTCGTGTACGGTAACGAAGCATGGGGACGCCGCCCTACAGTTTGTCCGTTGGTCGGTCGGTACGGGAGACCGACAGACTAGAAGTGGAAACGTTACTGATTTCCAAAAAAAAAACAATCATTCATTTTCCGAAAGGTACCACGGGACACAGGCTCGACAAAATCGGCACGCACAATAAATTAGGGTCGGCAAAAGAAGGCTAGGAGGTACTAGTGGTTTTAACTAAACCAAAAACAGGCAAAAAAAAAAAACATAAAATTTGACCCCCAAAGGGCCCAAACCCTCATTTCAGCTTTGGACCTCTTAGTCAGGAGCTGAAAGTGGGGGTCCCCTTTAAACCACCAGTACTTCCTCGACCCGTGCCCATTAACGCGCCACGATCGCCACGATCTTAGGAAACGTACAGGCTACTACAGGAGAGCCCAAATTCATCAGACTAGAAACGTGTCTACTCTATGTTTTTACACGGCCAATAGCTGGGCCAACCCGGCCAAGTACTGGTGGTTTAACCACTTGTGGTCCTCATCCGGCAGCCACAGCACAGAGTCAGCAACATCTGCAACACCACAAACGCAAAGAGGGACCCACGACATTAAAAGAAAAAACGAAAAGAGGAACCCACGACAGCTAAGAGGGAGACTCAGTCTCCAAAGCTGCACAAAAGGGAGGAGCGCATTCTCACGTGGAGTGGGAGGAGGAAGATCGTTCAAGTGCGAGCATCCGGAAGGGACTGTGATGATGTTTTCTGCTCCGACTAGTTGATGGGCTCACAGTACAGGAGAAGGTAGCTGCAATGAAAAGACTGTGGCGATTGTGGTGCTGTTCTTGTTTCTTGTATCTGCACCGCCCTTGTCCGATAATACTGATTAGAGTTAAATAGCTATTGCTGTTAAACCTTCTATGACAATTCGGTAAATTCAATTACGATCAGGGTTATACTCGTAGCCATTTTCCGAGGTAAGTTTGATTTCTTGAATTATAATCTTGGCTTTGTCAGTCTGAATTGTTAGCACAATTCACTATAATTACGTATCTTTGATTCTCCAGTAGATCTTCTAAAAATCCCCAGTGCTTCTGAATTCTACTATCATAGCCAAAATTCTAAAGAATTTTTTCGATAATTAGTTTTTTCTTCCTAAATCTGTATTGAGTGTATGTGGTGGGAGCTGCCATTTTTTGATTAGCGCAAGGGGCAGCGAAATAATTGCAACAAGCTTTACTGCCGCCCTGCGCCTTCTTCAGCGGGTTAATCTCAAAAACGCAATTTCAAGCTTTTTTGGTGGCGAGATTCTTTAGTACTGCTGTAATGGCTGAAGGCTGGATTGATCATTCCAGCAGGGTAGAACTGGAAGAGGGGGTGGACAGGGAGCGCTATCCTGCAGGGGGGTTTGCCCTGTTCTGGGGCTGGGGTTGGTGAAGGGGTCAACATCAATGCTGGAGCGACACTGGCCGGAGCCGGAGCGATGTGGCACAACTCTGTCACCTAGCCTAAAGGGGGCATGAAGCCTGGAAGAGATCTGGGAGGCTGTTTGTGGGGGCAGTCTCAGCGGTCATCGGGGTCGGAGCTGGCGCAATGCGGGCCGGAGGCTGGAGCAAGGTGGAACACCCTGTAGTCAACGAGTGAATGGTGTCCTTGCGAGTGTAGCGCTGCGAATAACACAAAGAGATCCTGCGGCAAACCGGACGATACTAAGGGAGATAGGTGATAAGACTCGACACACAATGGCTTCTGTGGAGGGGCGGTGACTCGAGGCGGACCTGTGGCTCTCTAGGCTGAACGAATGTCAGAAGAAACTTAGTGCTATGGCGGTCCTACTCTCCTCCCATTCCCTGCCTGGTCTTGAGGTTGAAGGGGGAGCAACCTCTGTAACCGGATGGGTGGAGGCGATAGTGCAGCGCATGTTAGAAGTCAGCAAGCCTTTCGAAGAGGGGCCTGCCATGGAGATAGATGACTGTATCGACTGGCACCGAGCAAATGCTTTATGGGAGCGATTGTCTTCAGCTCCAGGCTGAAGTACGTGCGCGGGGCGTGGAGGTGATTAGGCGTTCACAGGCAGCCGTATTCATAACTTCGCCACTATCACCAACAGTATCGTCGACAGCATCAACAGCAACATCAACAGCAACATCAACACCAGGATCAACAACAGCATCAACAACAGCATCAACAACAGCATCAACAACAGCATCAACATTTATGGTGGCATCTACAACCATTTCGACAGTGGTGACACCGCTAATACCACTACCCATGCTTACGACGATGACATCTGCAGTGCTGAACAGCCTCCGACAACATCAAAGGCAACATCAACGGGGCATGCGCTCACAACGATGACATCTGCTGCAGTGCTTTTAACAACAGCAACGACGACATCAACTGTGCATGATCCTATAACGATGGCATCTACTGAAATGCCTTTGACAACAACACTAACAACATCAACACTGCATGCGCCTGCGACAATGATACCTGCTGTGCAGCCATTGACAACAATAACGGTGACACCGACAGTGCATACACCTGCAACGATGTTATCTGCTGCACTGCCTGTGGCAACAGCGACAACATTAACAGTGCATGTGACGAGGACATCGCCGATAATACTATTGACATTAACGCTCACTGCCATACCATCTTCGACGGGGACAGCAACGGTTACCACGGTAAATGCTACCCTGTCTCCCTTGGCTGCGATCTTGCGAGGAGCTTTCTTGACGACTTTAAAAATGGCAATAGGGTTGAAGGGCAGGCGAGGGTTTCTGGATGGTGGATCTGTTGTGCTTGTTGATTTTTTTCTCATGCCCTCCGTTCAGCTTAGGATGGCCTTGATTGGCATCGTGGCGAGGGGCGATGCAGTGATGAGCTGCTTCCATGGGATACAGAGTGAGAGGGGCTGGTGCAGAGGCGGATCGGGCCTTACTGAGGAGGGTATGGGCTGTTTCTTGAGCATTCGCTGGTCGCCTTCCACTTGCTCAATGTCCCATGGCCATGCTGTCATCTGCATGTGTATGGGGGTAAAGCCTCTGAGACTCGTCTTTCTTTATCAATTCCTTTTCATTAGTGGTCTCCCTTCTGGATGATGTTTTTGTTGATTGATGACCTACTAAGGGGACATGCATACTCACTTTCCTTGCTTGCTGAAATTGTTACTTTCTGGATTTGCTCCAAGTTCATTTCATCTAACGGATCATGACAACTGATGGGCACATTCACTTACGGTTTTGACTGAGACCCAGGATGTGCTTGTCTTCCTTTGCCGTGCTCTAATCTCCCCCCATAATTTTGCTTTGTAAGGTTTGATCACTGTCCGTTTTTTATAGTAGGGCGAAATTCGATTGACTATGGGCTGGGTTAATCCTTCCCTCCTGGGGAAGCAATCACTGCCAATCAGTGCTCAGCGATCATGCACTATTTTAGGCCCGGACCCCATAGGAATGCGGAACGGAAAAACTTTGCCGCAGAAGTGTTTGCAGGACCCCACACCTCGCGGAAAAGTTTATGGAAAGGCCGAAATGTCTTCCAAAAACCGTATTCCGGGACCCCACAGCCCGCATTTTGTGGCCTGGAAGATCGCCTGTGAACGTTTTCACATGGTCCGCGGTCTGGAAAACGGTGAGCGGAGGAAATGGCGCCGCAAATTTGTGCCGAAAGCTGAGGTTGGCCCCCAGAGCCGTCTTGAACTTTTCCAAAGCCAGGTCCCATGGACGGGAGGCAGCAGCCAATAGCCATGAAGAGTGCCACAACAAAAAAAAAAAAACAAAAAAAAAAACAAAAAAAAAACGGAAAAGAGAACAAAACAAACGAGTGCCAACGGAAACAGGCAACGATTGGCTCAACTGATTTCCAGAGGGTTTTCCAAGCACTTTTGGTCCTCTGCGATGGGGTCCCGGAAAAAAGTACTTTCCGACTTTTCAAAATGACTTGCCCGCTTTTTGTGGCCACACGTAACGATTGGCTCAACTGATTTCCATAGGGTTTTCCAAGCGCATTTGGTCCTCTGCGATGGGGTCCTGGAAAAAGTACTTTCCAACTTTTCAAAATGACTTGCCCGCTTTTTGTGGCCACACGTCTTTTCCATCCGCACCGACCCTTAGTTGAATAGGGAACCTCTCTTTGGGAGCAGTGGCCAAGGCTCTTTCAGCCCTAATGGGAAGAGGCGTGTGTGTGTGTGTGTTGTACTCAATTCGATAATGGAAGCCTTGGGCACTGGGCCCTTCTTTATGAAAAAAAAAAAAGAAAAAAAAAGAGAGAAACTCTTCATCATCTAGTGTTCTTAGTCAAAACCGGGTGATGTCCCCGGTACGCTGGGCCCGGTTCCCAGCCGTGTTGCTCCCCACCTACAGATTTGGAGCATCGTCTCAAAAAAAAAGAAAAAAAAAAAAAGAAAAGTTTGAGGGGAACACGCCGGAAGACAGGACTGATGCTGGCAGGTGCCGACTCGGAGGCGGAAAGGCAGCAAACTTTAAGGCCTTGTGCTCATGGAAACCGCGCACAAACGGAGGGAGACCTAGCAAAACTCTAGTACTCTTTGTTCATGATGTAAAACTGATGGCTTTGTCGTACGTTTGTACACCAAAATGCACTGGTCTGAAAGGGACGCTGGACCCGATTTCCAGCAGGTGCAGCTCCCCACCAAGAGAGAGGAGCCATCAACCACTGGCGAGGGCTGCTAATGGGAATTGTTCTTATCAACCCCAGCAGGTTCCCCGCCGCTACGACGTTCACAAAAGAAAACGGAAAAAGGAAAACAAAAGACCCACGATTGTAGCGATGAATGTATCACACAAAAAAGCAAAGAAGGCGTTGAGAGCGAACCTTCACGCTTTTACTTCTTTTTCTTAAAGAATCTACATGCGTGGAATGCACGCCAGTGTGCCATACAAGGCAGGCCAGAACAGAGGTAGGTAGACGGAAAGGAGCGGCAGATCGCACAGAACACGAAACTGTGTTTCACAGCGCGAAGCTCGAATACATGAGTCCATTGACAGCACGGAATTTCAACAACGAAGAAAAACACACAAAAGGCAAGAGCATGCTCACACTAGGCCCTCTTAACTCGCAAAATCACAAAATGAGTGGTCAGATCGAGTCCTCGTAAAGGACTAGATTAGGCCCGTCATTTTGGGATTTTGCGATTTTGAGGGCCTAGTGTGAGTGTGCGCTGGGTCCATCTGCTGCCAGCCACTTGGTCGAATCCAACGGCGGAACATATACTTTCTGCAAGCCTCACGGTAATGTAGTGGAGCTGACGAAGAACTGGAGGCAGCCCGCAAAACCGGGGCGCTAAACGCAGAAAGACTGCACACTGAAGGACAGAGAGGGGGGACAAGCATGTCCACAGAACCAACTGGCCTAGCTCAGTTGGTACACCCCTGTCGCAGTGCCGACCTGAGTTCAAAACTCCACTGGAAGCAGACGAGTAAAATACGACAATACTCAATTGCCCAGGGCCGTTCGGTCCGATGATGATATCTCAAGGTCTCCGCCGTTTCTAGAAGAAGAAATAGGGGGAAAAATGTGTCCACAGAGACCAGGGGCGGAAACCTCAAGGCCGCCACCATTTCTAAAAAAGAAATAGAGGAAAATAAAGTGTCCACAGAGAGCAGGGGCACAAAATAAGAACCACAAGACACACGATACAAACATGGGCCAGTACACATCGAGAAACGCCCACAGACACATACACACACACACACAGAGAGAGAGAGAGAGAGAGAGAGAGAGAGAGAGAGAGAGAGAGAGAGAGAGAGAGAGAACGAGAGAATGTGCTCCCTGCAATCTTCGGGTGACGGACAAATCTCATGTGAAATCGGCGTGAAGGGTGAGAGGACGCCGCCGGGAGGAAAAGGGTGCTGGAAAAGGGAAAAAAAAAGAGAACAAAAACAAAAAATAAAACAATCAAAGAGTGTGTGCTGGGTAAAGAAGTGGGGGGGGGAGGCTGCGAGAGAGACGCTGGAGAAAAAAACTAAGGCGGCATTTTTGTTGTTCGGGAACTTCAAGGTAACATACAAAAATTAAAAAAAAAGAACGATGTTGGGCGGGGGGCCGGGGGCGGGGGGCGGGGGGGGGAGGGGGCGAGGGAAACAAAAGCAATCAAGTGGCATTTCACCTTACTTTTTCATACTCGTTCTATTTTTAGTTCTCCATTTCATCACCAGCATGAGTTAGTAGCACCATTCCCTGTTTTCCCCTCTCACTTCGCAACACCACCCCAGTTTCCTAAAGCTGGCGCCTCGCAACAGAGTAGATGTCATGTGTCAGAACGAGTGACAAAAACGACAAAATGACACAGCACTTCATCCCTCTCCACTTTCTCACGCCTCCCTCCCCTCCCTCCCCTCCCTCCCCTCCCTCGCCTTTCGTCACGGAACATAAAGATTAAAATTAAAACGGGGGGAAGAGGGGGACATAAAGAGCGGCGGCGAGGAGGATACAGATTTACCAAAAGGGAGGGCAGGAGGGATGAACCTGGACACAGGTTTAGCAAAAGGGAGGGCAGGAGGGATGAACCTGTTCCCGACTACAGCTTAGAATCCACAGGGAAAAGAAACGAGGCGAAAGACGAGAAAACCAAGAAGGGGGGGGAAGAGAATTGCAAGCCTTCGGGTGTACGCCAATCCGGAGGTTCTCTTGTCCAGGGTTCAGCAGAATCAGCATCATCAACACACAGTCAATGTCGTTTCTGCAGAAAAAAACTGTTTGTCCACAAAGCTTTGAGCTCCTTGAGGGCATACTCACACTCAGACTTCGTTTCGAGGGAATCAAGCTGTTATGTGAGGTTAAACAAACGAAAGAAAAGGACGTTATGGCAGGGGGATGATACTGTGGTACATAGTATATTTAGCGAAGTAACAGTGTGAGTAGGCGCTTTACAGCGTTTCGGAACGTTGGGAACGCAGAGCGCTTCCAAGATAGGAATCCAACTTCGTACAATATTTGGGATACTTTCCAAAAGCAAAGCACTTTTCCAGATACAGACTTTAACTTCTTCCAACGAATCAAATGCCAAGTTTAACTACCTCACAATCTCTGCTTATCTACAGTCCATTCGCAAACTACCGACTCCCCTCCCC